GCCTCGCTGCTCCCCGCCCAGCCCCGCCGACCGCGCTACCCGCTTGCCTTGCCGCCTGCTCACCCGCCCGCCTAGCGCTTTAAACCCTCCCTCCAGCAAACCCGACTCGGTCCAAGAGAAATTAAACTGCCGGTGCTGCCGTGTTACAGCCTGAGCTGCTGAGGGCTCGGGTCGCTCCCGCCCCGTAGGCTCCGGTGCGCCGGTTGTGCGAGGGAGCGGAGCCTCCCGAAGCAGCCGGCGGCAGAGGACCCAAGCCCGGAGGTGCGGTGGCAGCGAGGGGGTGGCGGTATTAGTGATTTAATTGGCAAGAGCCCTTCAGAAAATGAGACCTCTGGAGCGGCAGCTCTAGGGAATTACTGATGCCTGCTTGTCAAGCAGGTGCAGGAAATTAAATGATAATGTTATTTGAACATGTATTCACTTCGCTGCTGTTGGGGAGGCTGGAAAAGTTAATGATGGTGTAGTTGCTGTCAGTACATGTGACTGACGGAATAGCTCTGATGATGAATAAGGTGCCTTGCAAAAATAATTACAGAAATTGCATCTTAGGTATGTGATTTGTTTTTCTTACAGAAAATGTGATTAGAAAAATATTTGTCATTTTCTGTTTCATTAAATTCATGTGTATCTATACGTTGCAGTTGGCTTAAAAGAAAAGCTGATACTCTAGAGGACAAAAGATACGTTGTTGAAGCCAGACTGTATTTTTGTGAGATTTAAACTGTAAACTCAATACAGGCTGCTCTAGGCACTTGTATATTTTGCAAGGCAGAGGAATATTGTGTTTTGGTTTCTCCTGCACTTAAACTGAAACAATTGCATGTTGTCCTGGTTCGATTTGAAGACTACTTCAGCAGTCACTGGCAGTGTTGTGACACCAAACGCTTTAGCTGATATATTTAAAAGTGAAAACCTGGGAGAAAAATAAAACTAGTCATTACTAATGAAATGAAAATTCAGTGCCTTTATAACTAATAGCTCTGAGTTAATATTTCTGAGGTGTTACTTCTAAGTTTAATAAAGAACTAAAGGAGTCTATTTGTCATTTATTTCTAAAATTACATAAGGCTCTTTTTGTAGCTCCTTACAACAGATAAATGATACACTTTGCGTGTGACTAGTGACTTCCTCTTTACAGTTAAGAAATTCTTCTTTGTAGTTTTCTGATGGGGTGAGGGGAAAAGAATAAGAGGAGATTGTTCTGAATGTGATTATTTTCTGTTTCAGATTTGTAGCTGATTGTTCACATGTGTCCAGGGGGAGATGAAGTACATTGGATCCTGCATAGTTTGGCTTTGTATGGCAGTCTTCCTTCTCTTTCCTGTTTCTACTTCTGTGGCTGTCAGTGACCAGACAGGTACTTCAGTTTTTCTTGCCCATCACAGACCAAAGGCATAAATCTCAGTACTGAACAAATTTGAACAAATAATGACAGTATGTGGAAAATAAGCAGTATGAGCAGATTAAATTATACATGATTTTTTTTAATCTCTTTTTTAAAAAGCCTAAGGTTGAAGCAGTTCCAAAGCAGCACTTCTGTTTCCTGTGCTTGGAAGATTCATGTTTGGAAGCAGCTGTAGTTCCTAGGAGTTTTGTTTTGTACTTTTTCAACTTACGATACAAAACAAGATTCTAAATCGGAGCTTGCAAAACTTTTGTGAACAAAATCGTGTGGCTTTATTAGAGCAGATCAGTAATCGGACCAAAACAACCTAATGCTCATGTTAACCTCACCTAAACTTAATCCGCAGACCAGGTCATACGTTTCACAGATGTAGAGTTAGACAAAACCTTGTGCCTGAGAAGACAGGGGAAAGGAATATAGTGACTTGTTTAACTTAAAAGCTGTTACCCGTCTTCTGCAAATTTTCTCATACTTCTCTGTTTTCTTCTTTCTCTTACTGTCCACATGTTATCTAGCTCTCTCACTTTAACGCTACATTGCCTCTCCAGAGTGTGGTAAATTCTGTCTTAAAGGCACGTCACGTGTGCCTGTAGAATAAGGAATTGTCAGTTTTCTGGAATTGCTCAGCCTCAGCACGTACATCAACTTTCTAGAATTTTCCTACAGTTATTAGTAAGGAGAACATGCTTGTTGCCATTCAAATAGAAATAAAGAGTTCTTTTTCATGAATTTTTTTTTTTAGAAAATGAAATTTATATTTAGTAATGCTGTTTTTCCAGAAACCTGATGAAAGATAATAGAAGCTATACACATACAACAACTTTGAATTTCCATGAAACATTTGAAACTCAGGCCCAAGACATTTAAAAAGTCAATGACTAGGATAATAATCCTTTTACTACTCCTGGAAACAATAAATAGTAATATTTAATAAATAAGTGTAATGTGTGGGCTGTAAGATAAGAATAATGCATTGTGAAGAATCTGAATTTAAGTCAAAGACTTTTTTGCCTTGTATTTTTAGGGCACAAAGGCTAAGTGCTCTACTGATGAATTATTCTTAATCCCTGTGAGAGAGTGAGCCTACATCATAGCTGTGCAATCATTCTCTTCAGCTGTCTGAATGGAGCAAAATAAGTTGTCTTCTCTGTCGTTGCTAGCTGGTGGATTGTAGAAGGGAAGTTTTAGAAGTGCTAAAAGGGTGTGAGTGCAGAAGGTTCCCCCATAATAGAAATTAATAGATGGAAACTTGAAAAATTGTAAAACAAAATACCAGGAAGCATTGTCTCTTTTCTTTTTATATTCCTTTTTTTTCCCTAATGAAAAGATGTCCCAGTAGAAGGTGGACCAGTCATAGAAGATGTGACAGACACGCTGAACTGCTAATAAACGGTGTATCTGAACTGTACATTACGTTCGTTAGAAGTTTGTGGCTAGGCAGCCAGCAGGGAAGTAGCAGTTTTCCTTAATCTGATTGCCACAAATGGATCAAATATGGGTCAAATTGAACCGCTGGGAAGCAGAGGAGAGATTGAACCTCTCCTGAGAATAATTGATGGTGTGCAATTGAGAGAGGCTTCTGCAGTTTGAGGTGATACAGGCAGATGGTGAGGAATAACAAGTAGATAGCTGCCAGCTTGAGCAGCTCTGCCAACAGCAGGGAATAGGCTCAGAGTGAAGCCTCAAGTTGATAACAGGAAAGAGACTCTTCTAGAGACTGAAGGGATGGTTACTGTCCAAAAAAGAAACAGAAGTTATAGACCAGAAAGCAGGAGCTGAGAAAGAACAGACCCTGCGACGGTGCAGCGGTAAGGGGTACAGGTATGTCTGCAAGCCTTTTGTTAACCTGCCCCGTTCAGCTGAACCGAGTACTCTGTGTTGCAAAGTTGTCTCATTCTAGTTTGATGATTTGTATGCAGATGAATCTGTTAGGAATTGGAAATGTGCTCACTTCAGGAAGAGAGAAATATCTAACCTCCTCTGTCTGCCATTCTGTCTGTCTGTCTGCCTTTCTGTCTGTCTTTCACTGGCTCTTTTGTGGGCCTTTGTTCTCTCCCAGGTACCAGTTCTGTCTGGATCAGCATCTGTCCTTCAGGATCTGCCTAGGCAATCCTTTTGGTTTTCTTCCTTCAACAACATATGCATAGGATTTATTTCTCACTGTGCTAATAGGAAAGCTTTTCCAGCAAAGCCCATTTAGATAGGCTCTTGGATTATTGCATTTACATCCTGAAATTTCTCACCTGATCTACTTGAGTCTAAAGGAATGG